CAATATGTGATCATTTCTGAGAAAATTATATTTTTTCTGTCGTTGTTGTGTGCGTTTCAGGTGCTATAGCCGCCAGGGTTAAGAAGCGCTGATTGTCATGTGAAGCGTTGGTAGTGTTCTAACTCCTGCTAACTTAACATAAACTAACTTTAACTTATTGGAATTATTCACCGCATACAATTTGTTTTATAAAATAGTATGCACAGGATATAAAAAATTCTTACTAACACCTAAAAATTCACAGCGAGTAAAATTTCGAAATATAGTTAATATAATAGTGAAGAAAATATTGTGAATCTATGGGTTTGGATTTTTTTTAATTCTGTGTACAGTTTACAAGTAATTCTCAAACCACTTCCCCTGTTTCCGCTATTTTAGTGAGTTTCCTCAGAAAATTACTACAATTCCTCAAAGAAACAGAAGACCGTGACACCAAGCAACTGTTGTCACTTCCGAACTCCGCTTCCTGATAACTCATACAGTGGGAGGGTGTGTGTGTGTCGCCGGGGGAGGGGCGCAGTTTCATAACCCCAATGGTTTACTCGCGCAATTATATATGATTGTGCGCGCTTGAGAAACATTCACTTTTTCCCTCCAATTTTCCTAGAGGAAACAGCTGGAGGGAGGGATTGTGGGAGGGGCCGCTGGTGTCTGCCATTACTGGTTACTGAAGATGCTCTAGGAGGGGGGGGGGGGCGACCGCTGTAGGTGGTGATAAAACATGAATGCTGTATTACGTTGAATGCCGATGAAACTGTCTGTTTTGTTCAGTACAGTACATAGTTGTTGGTTTGGAAACTTAGTGAACAGTGATTGCAAACACGCATTCATGTGTAAGAAAGAGCCTTTTGGTTGCCATGTTCTTTCAATAAACCGTTAATTATTATTATTTATTACTATACGCGCTTTTGTTGATGTAATGTTTAAATAGTCTTTAAGTGACACTATTTTATCATATCAATGCTTTAATTAACTTGTCACTTGTTCAGCTTGTGTAAACTGACTACTAAACACGAAAAATAGAAGTCAAAAGAATTAATTTGAAACCATTCGATAGTCTTTTTGATATTGTAATTTAATAATCCTTTTAATAAAACTAAAGATCGTAACTCACTTAACCTACTGAACAAAGATGTCGACTATTATGATACCGAAACTATATTGGAACTCCTGTGATAGGATGATCTCTGTCTCCTCATCTCCAGTAAGGGGAAATTTAACGTGAGAACATCTGAGAAAATGAATGAAGCCCAGTAGTTGTGGTCCTCCTCACTCTGTTGTGGTTACGTCACAGTAATGACAGATGTTGGTGAAAGTTAAACAGTGTAGGAGTGCTGACCATCACAATATGATTTTTTCCCTAGGATGGAAAGTGACATTGACTATTATGGTAAACAATTTGGTTATTTTCTAAGATAATTTTATTAGAAACTAGTTTTTTTTGTCACTAGGATGGCCAGGGATATTGACTTTTATGGTAAACAAATTATTATTGTAAACTAATTTTTAGCCCGTTTGTATTGAGCTCTTGTCACACCACCTTGGCCTCGTGGCTGTTATTATCATCGTCGTCGCTGTGTTTATACTGGGTTATGTTCCTCGATGTTTGCACTTTAAATACTATGAAAACACCTTTGCATTTATAAGTTCCTGCGATTAAGATTCGACAGTTGTAAATGATTCAGAATGCATTTTTACGATTTTATTTATATATTCAACAATGAATTGGACAAAGACTGGACAAAGACTGGGCTGACAAAAAATACTGCACTCTCAGTTAAACAAAAACAAAATACTTCAATTGGATAAATAATACTTCCTTGCCACTCAAAAATCGTAAAACAGACACTACATTACTTAAAAATTTTATTGGATATGGAATACTTGAAACTTTTGTATGATAGTATAGTCTAACACTGAGAAGAACATAAATCAAAAGGAATAGAAAGAAGAAGAAAATTGCTGAGAAGACGTGAGAACCAGACTGTACTATCGTAACTTTTAATTGTCGACATAGACTAGTGTAATTACCAACCTTGTTACGCTCTTGAAAGACCTTAGATGTTGAAGCGCAGTAATTTACTATATAACATTAACGTCAACCAGAGAAAATATATGTCTCTTATTTAATAATTATTAATAACTACTAATTAATATAAAATACACGCTTACAGATATAAACGCCAATGCGTAGTAAACAGTTAGACATTGTTGCCTTAGTATTAGCAAGCGAGTTGTAAATTTCTAAAAAAATAATAACACGAACATTAAATTCTCGTAAGTTTTTGTTTAATGTATATCCTGACCGAGTGATCATGCTTAAAAATATTACCTGTTGGAGCAGTGAAATACATAAAGTCTGCAACAAAATAAAGCAGAGAAATATGTAAAAGGAACGAGGTAAGTAGAAAGATGAATGACGGAGAGAATATTTAGTGCGTGAGAGAAGGTTAAAAGAGAAAGATATAGAAAATACAAAGCGACCGTGAAAGAGAGAGAGAGAGAGGGATGGAAAAAAATAATATAGGCCAAGGATAGAGAGAGGATAAAGTGTGAAAGAAACCAGAAGAGAAGAATGTTTATGTAATAGGGTGTGGTAAAGTGTGTGTTCTTCAGCTAACTGGCATGTTGACCACAGCCTACTGGTTTGAGTTTCATCACACAATTTTGCGACTTTCAAAATAAGCTGATGATTTTTTTTTAATCTGTTCACGTTTAGTTACCGGAATATTATTGTATTGTGGTTAAAGTTAGGTTAGATATATCTAAGTTGGTTCAATTGACAAGGTTTTTTTGTAAGCACCGTTCATTAAGACATTTAGTAGCTTCTACTGTATATCAGACAACATTGAAAGTAAAAAAAATGATTACACTCAGCTCGGCAAATTCATCAGAAGATATGCTGTCTGTCAAAACTTTAAAAGTTATCATATAGTTAGCAAGCAGACTTTTTTCCAAATGGCGGTAAACTTGACGGTGCAGTACAATTTAAGTTGGCAACATTCAAATTACTGGGTACAGGCAAATGAACACATACCGTGATCACTGTTCAGTTGCTTCCTGTGGCAGAAGGTCCCTGACAATGGGACAACCCGGTAAATAATGCCTGAAGAGTTTTAGTTGTGGATCTGTTACACAGCAGGAAGAGAAAGAAGTGCGGAACATCCTTCGCCTGAGACTTGCCAGCCTATTGCGAGCTGAGACAATGCCTATATAGGAAAGGAATTAACTGATCGTAGCGTCGGGTGGACAAGCTACTAAGCCTTTTCTTTGCGATGGGCTGTTGGGAGAAGAGCGGCAGATCGTATTCTCTTCCTGTAACACAGGAGGGAGGGTGCTGCCCCACCGTCAGGGAAAGCAAGGCTACAGGCAGTAGCCTGTAGCCTGTACACTAAACCAACATGAGATGGAATACAGAGAAAGTATTACTACACAGTTCTCGCGAGCAAAAGCCAAGGGCCGTGTTATGTACAGATGGTGTCTGGCTGCAGGGTCCGAGGAAGAGACTATGGACGCCAGAACTAGTTGCTGCTGAAGGAGGGGTGGGTCCTCCTTTGAGGTGTATTAGTGCGCTGTAATAACTATGGTCTTTAAGCGCGTAGTTACACACATTACCCATCAACAATTAAGAGTTCAAAGAGATGTTGATATAACTGCGCTTCAACAACTGAGGTCTTTAAATATGTATTCTAGGTTAGTTAATGCACTAGTTATCAACAATTAAGAGAGATGTTGATGGCACAATGTATCGCTGTGCTTCAACAAGTAAGGTTTTTAAGCATGTTGTCTAAGTAAATACACTAACAGTTGAAAATTAAGGTGGGTGGTGTTCACTGCCCCGGAGACTGATGACTTGATGGTGAAAGGGAGTGTTAGCGGCCTCTATTGTTTCTCCTGAGGTGTAACTAAGTATACAAGTTATACACACTTAATGCCTGTGTGATTGTAGACTAGAAGTATGTGTACATGTTGCTTAAACTGTAGATTATTTGCATTAGTAGTGTATGTATATATTGCTAGATGTACTGTACCGTGCAGTCGGCAATGAAGATGTTGCACAGCTTAAGAATTGAATATAAAGAAATCAACGCGACATATAGAACACTGAGAAAGGCTTTTGACTGTTAATAGCTGTGTGTTTTTGGCCACAAGTTAAAATAACACGTTTACAGATACTGCACCACGTCGTAATACAGTGTTATGATTTGATTTGAATTTATTGGGTAAAGATTCATACAGTACAGTGCGTGCCTATAAATATTTTCCGAGGATAACACTACTGTATGTCCTCAGTAGTTTCGCTGTAGGCTACTTTGTAACTTGTTTCCATCTTGGCATTTCTTCTGACTGTATTTCACAATGTACTTTATCATACTTATATAACGGTAGATTAGAAAGACGCCATAAAATGTAATTCATTAATGAAAGACTCCATAAAATGTAATTCATTGATGGCGGTGCTCTTGTCGTGGTACGCAGCGTCGGAACGTGTGTGTACTGTATGTGTTAATATGCGCTAGATATTTGTGTATGGTCCTCACAAGGCAAACTATTTACAGTGTATGTTGTTATTTATAAGTTGTATACAGTGTTGGTAAAGGTGTAGATCAGTGGTGCCCAAACAAACCCTCACGCCCCCATTTTTCTTTTCAAACCAATCTGATCAACTTTTTTTCAATTTTCTACCCTGTACTCGTATTTATTTTACTTTTAAGATCATCTAACTCTTAATTATTTTATTCATGTACATCGTGCAAAGGGGAACCACTAAATAAGAATTCAATTTGTGTTGTGATACTGTCTTCACTGCCCTATTTATCGCAATTAACCAAGAAGTTAATATTTTGCTTCATTGATATTAATGATTTTCACTTTTTGGTCAGAATGTAATGTCAAAATATAACTAGAAAGGGTTGTTTAAGACGATTGGTGCAGGTAATTTACTGTATTTACTAGTACTGCATTCAGTAAGGAGGTTACAGTATTGTGTTGTTTTTCAGGTTGTTGGTGGCAGCGGTTATATCCGGGTGCTGGGCTCAGGTCAAGCCATCGTGGGATAATAGTGAATGGCAGCCCATCCTACAGCCTTGTCTCTCGTGTCGCCAGGCGCGTATCCTCCCTGCTGGGTCGTTCATCCAGGAAGCTTCCAGCGTCCAGCCTAAGCAATTAATCCTGGAAACTCCCCGCACACAGCTAAAGCCATCAATCCAGCAAGCTCCAGTCTTCCCGATCAAGACCATCAAGCTCTCTTCTAGGAAACCAAGCCAGATCAAACCTGCATTGGTGCCTGCTCGTAGACCAGTACCTTTCAGGCCGTCCACGGTTACGAATAGCGAGGGTGGGCGTGTGCAACTGGTGTACTTACCTGAAGGATCCATCAGACAGCTCAGCTCGGCCAATGCCGCCCGCATCACGCCCACGTCTCCAGAGCCCCGTCATCAAGTGGGCCAAGTGGAGGATGCCCCACTTCCACCATCATCCGAAGTCGTCCAGACCATAGAGTTCTCGGACAAACAGAAGCGAGATCATGATGGGCGAGTGGTCGCTGGCGGGGTGTCCAACAGGGTAGTGATGTCCCTCGTCACTACTCGTGAACAAGAGAAGGACGCCAGGGAGAAGCTGAGGCTGCTAGAGGCGGCCCTTGCCACCCCTACACAGACCCCTCCATCTCAGAATGACGGACGCCTTCCAAGGGTGTTCATTGCCCCGTCCCATGTCCCTCCCCCACCTGGTTACGTCAAGATTCCTCTTGTGCCTCAAGGAAAGTCTGGGGATCCCAGTAACCAGAATGGTAACTCTCCCCTCCCTTCAACTTTCCTCACCCCTGATGGTCGTAGTCCTCCACCAGGATTCATTAAGTTCGACCTTCCTGAGAGAGTAAGCCAACTGTCACAAGACATCCCTGTCGTGGTACCCAACTCACAAGTGGGACCCAACCTCGAGCTGGATCAACCTTCTTTCACACCCACGACCACCCCTGGATCCATCCGTCCACCAGCCTCCCTCAACTTCCAGACAACGGACGTCCGCTCTGGAAAGGATCTCAGCTTCCGACCTCCAGCAGTCCAAGTCATCCCTAAGAGCGAGCCCAAGCCTGACTCTCCAGCCCCATCTATTTCACATCCCATCCCTCAGAGGCCCACTATCCATCCCCAGACCACCCCCAGGCCTCAGACCACCCCAAGACCTCAAACCAACCCCAGGCCCCAGCCCAATTCCCAGGGCTTCTCTCATCAGCCCTCAAATCTTCCAGAGCAGAACCTTCGTAACTCCAACCAACCTCGCCCCCACCAGCCTCCTTTCACAGCATTTCCTCAGCCCAACCAGAACATCCCCCAGCCGGGAAGGACTTTCATCCAGTTCGGCCAGAACACACGACAACCTGGTCAGCAAGTCATTCAGCCGATCATCCCGACTGGCCAACCTGTCATCAAGCCCGCTCGGACCTTCTTTCTGTCTAAACAGCCACAGTTCCTCCTTAATCCCGTACAGTCCGGTGTAACCTTCCTACGGCCCGCCCAGCTCATCCAACAACAGGGTCAACCACCCCGTCAGGCTTTCCCACAACCCAATCAACAACAGCCTTTCCCTCAGTCAGGTCAGCCACGGCCCAACCAACCACAGCCCTTCCCACAGTCCGGTCAACAACAGTCTGGTCAGCCGCAGCCCTTCCCACAACCTGGTCAGCCACAGCCCGGCCAATCACAGCATTTCCCACACCCCGATCAACAACAGCCTGGTCAGCCACAGCCCTTCCCACAACCTGGTCAGCCACAACCTGATCAGCCACAGCCCGGTGTACCACAGAACTTCCCACAGCCTGGCCACCCGCAGCCCTCCCCACAACCCAACCAACAACAGCCTGGCCACCAACAGCCCTTCCAACAACTTGGCCACCCACAGTCCTCCCCACAACCCAACCAACAACAGCCTGGCCACCAGCCCTTCCAACAACCTGGCCACCCAGCCCTTCCAACAACCTGGCCACCCACAGCCCTTCCAACAACCTGGCCACCCACAGCCCTTCCAACAACCTGGCCAGCCGCAGCCCTTCCCACACAGCCCACCCACAACCTGGTTTCACAGTCCTTCCAACAACCTGGCCACCCCACAGCCCGATCACCCACCTGGCCACCCCATCACCCACAACCTGGCCACCCACAACCTGTGGCCACCCACAGCCTGGCCATTCACAGTCTTTCCAACAACCTGGCCACCCACAGCCCGATCACCCACTACCTGGCCACCCACAACCTGGCCACCCACAGCCCGATCACCCACAGCCTGGCCATTCACAGTCCTTCCAACAACCTGGCCAGGTACAGCCCTTCCCACAGCCTGGTCAACAACAACCTGGCCACCCACAGCCCGGTCAACCACAACCCTTCCCACAGACCTTCCCACAGCCTGGCTTGGATCAAAACATCTTCAGATCAGTACAGCCTGTCTTCTCTCATGACTTCCCAGCGATCGACGACGACTTCCGTCCCAGTTCAGACTTTCCTCCGCCTGCTGATCCACCCCAAACATCAACAAGACTTCCTCAGTTCCCGACAACAACGAGTCCTCGGACTCCAAGACCCGTGGCCACCACTGTAGCGCCCGCTCCGCTTACCACTTCCCGAAGACCCATCCCAAATGCCTTCATTTCTTCCTCACCTCGCCCACAGTTAATTCCCCGGCCATCCCCAAGACCACTCCCAGAGGCTTCCCCGAGACTCTTACCAGTTACTCCTACTCCTCGGCTCACTCCTCGACCTGTATCCTTCACCACTCCTGACTTCACTGCAAGCCCTGAGTCTTTAACAACCACGGAGTTTATCACCCCGAAACCAAGGCTTACGTCCTTCACAACACAATCACCCTTCCCCGCATTTCCAGCATTCCAGTTCTCCACAAGACCAGCGGTTGGATTACCTGTGAATCCCAGGGCTACCTTCTCCCCCACCCCAAGGCCTGTGTTTTCCTCCACACCAAGACCTCTGTTTTCCTCCACACCAAGACCTCAGCCAGTGTCTGTTACCTCTGACTTACCTATCCTGCAGACCTTCTCCCCCTTTGGCACCTCTTCAAGATCACCATTCCATCAGACCGTAATCAGATTGCAGGAGCAGAGACAACAATTTCCAGCTTTAAAAAACACTCAGACACCCCAAATTCCATCGTTCTTGGACCCACAGACGTCATCAGTGCCGTCATTCCAGGAACCCCAGCATCCTTCTACAACGCCATCATCCCAGGGGTCACAGCCTACTCAGGTGCCACTATTTAAGACCCCTCAGGGATCTCCAACCCCACTGTTTACAACATCTCAAACACCATCGCCCCAGGACCTTGAGGAACCATCTACTCCATCATTCCGGGAGCCTGAGCATCCTCGCCTCCCCATCTTCCCATCCTTCCAAAGGCCAAGGTTTACTACCACTTTGACCCCGGAGGAAGACCAAACTCCTCCAGAAACAACCACCCGAGAGTTCCTGACACCTGCCCCCACCACGCCTGTGTCCACCACGCCTACGCCCACAACCTCCACCATTAGGGTGACTACCTTTAAGCCCAGGTTAAACTTCAACGTCGCAAATAGACGTCCTTTCCTTAGGCGGAGACCGAGACCAAACAATGGGGACAAGAAGGAGGCCGAAGATACAGTCAAGAAAGACACTGAAGACACAACCAAAAAGGATATCAAGCACAAGAAGACAGAAGCAACGACACTCTTCCCGCCATTCTCTGTCGCACGCACACTTAACCCTCTTCGCGTCGAGAAAGGAGACAGCTCTGACAACGCTTCCAGTGCAAGAGGAGCTGGTGTGACTGTTCCTTCCAGTGGAGTCTTTGGCAGACGCCTTCGACCACGACAAAGGCGCCCATCGACACTTCGCACTGAGAGTGATTCAGAGGCATCCAGTCCGACTACTGATTCAAAGCCGCGTACCGTGACTGTCAACAGAGTGAGAAACATCGGCGGCACCAGAGCGCACACCCTGGCTAGCAACAGAGGCCGAAACCTCCCTGAGTGGCTCACAGCTCGCCGACGTTCTCGAGGGCAGGCACGTCTGTCTGAGAAGAAGACTTCCGCTGAGAACACCGGAGCAATAATTGATGACGTTCCTCTGGATATATTAAATAATAATGGCTTCACTGGTGCTGAGTCTACATTAGTGGTCTTCAGCAGCCCACCGGAAAATGAAGTACCGGTCCCACTGAGCGCCCAGGAAACTGAGAAGGAACTCAAGGAGGCAGTTTTTGAGCTGAGGAAGGAGGAGGAGGAAGAAGTTGAGGAAGCCCTGGAGAGTGCTGAAGAGGCCATCGTTGGTTATGCAGAAGAAATTGCTGAAGACAGTTCTCTCCAAGAAGCCATTCACAAGCTCAAAGAAAATTTGTCCTTGTCAAAACAATCTGCAACAGAGTCTCCATTAACTTCATTGGAAGCTGTTGGTGACACCAATGACACAAACACATTCTATGATGACTACAGCGAAGATGCTGTCATTGTACCCGAACCTGAAGCTGTACCCGAGCCGGATGCTATTTCCAAGTCCCATGAAGCAGATGAGGTTGATGCTGCAAAAGAGCCTGAGGCTGAACCTGAGGCCGTCGCTGTGTCCAAGAATGACGATGGTGTACCTGATGCTGAGGATGACGCAGTGGCAGAGCCCGAGCCACAGGACCCCACAGAGTATGTATATGAGTATGATGAGTACGTGGACGACCTTCAGGACCAACCCGTGACGCTACGCCCCTCTCACCACCATCCCCCTAGGCCCTCCCCCTCACAGTCACACTCCCAACCACATCATCACACACTCACCACCCCGACACGTCCTACTGCCCCGACACGCCCCACCACCCCATCACACGCCACCACTCCAACACATCCATCCATCCTCCCCAACACCCATCCCTTAGTTGACATACCTACAGTCGACAGCTTTGTAGAGGAGACGCTGAGTCCAGTAGTAAACAGGAGTGAGAACGAGGTAGTGGAGAGTGCAGGAGAGACCCCAGACCAGACGACGGACAGTGACCATCCCGCGGTAGAACATGTAAAGTGGGTGACAGAGCAGGCAAGTAGTGGTGTTGATGATGATGATGATGATGATACTGAGCTTAAGGTTAGTAGGGAGGCTAGTGGGGAGTGGAGGGAGGAGGGGGACACCTCTTACAGCCACAACAGCACCGAATCTCCAGAGGTACTATCTCTTTTCCCTAACGACTACTTCACTGCTCTCTCCTCAGGCGAGTCACACAGCTACGACTACTATGAGTACGACCACTACGATGACGGCCACCACGCTGCCGTCGGCGAGGACCAAGACTTCGGCAGCAGCAAAACTCAAGTCGTCTTCGCCGTTCCCGCCACTGAGTACGTGGTAGAAGATACCACGACCCCGGCCACTCAGGTCATCGACGAGGTCAGAGAGGGCAATCAGGATCAAAGAGAGACTACGGAAGAACCCCTCGTGTTTACGACTATGTTGGGTGTGGTGGCGGGGGAGGAACACCTTGTTCGGGAGGAGGAGGAGGAAACTACAGAGGCAGGAGTAGTAGTAGACGTGACCAAAGAACCTGCCACGGTACCACCACCAGAGTTTGAAGACACCACTGAGCTGGGTGCTCTAGAGGAAGACTCCTTAGTCGCTACTACGTTGGCTCCTTTCCTTACCCCCACCACCACTTCTACACCTACCACACCCCTTATCACACCTACCACACCCCTTATCACACCTACCACATCCCGTATCACACCTACCACACCCCTTATCACACCTACCACACCCCTTATCACACCTACCACACCCCTTATCACCTTCATTCCCTTCCCCTTCACTACCACAACAACCACAACTTCTACCACAACCACCAGGCCACGACCAGCCTCCATACGACCCTTATATGCCCGTCTACAGAGCATCGCGAAAAAGACAGCAGCGGAGTCTTCTTCGTCCTCCTCCAACAAGAAGCTACACAGGACCCCTAAGATCCTTGCAGCGTCGACTATCACGGAGATCCGGTCCTCTGATCCTGTTATCTGTTTCCGGGATCACAGGTGTGTCAGGACCAGAGGGCTCAGGCAGCGCCGAGCTGCTGCCTCCAGCCCCTGAAAGACCCAGAATTCTGGTCTTGAAGTCTTCCTTGCCTCAACCATGAAGCTTCCCTCGCCAAGTACCCTCCTGGCACCTTCCTCACCCTATCCTTGAAATCTCCTGAACCCCAATAGAACCTTAAAATCATACTAGGTCCTCCCTCACCTGAACATTCCGTCACCATCTTCATTAAGACATAACCTAATTTAACCTAATCTAACACCCCAGTACAGAACTAATAACCAGTCATGTATAAGTAATACTCTTATGATATTAGTCACTTGTTGTGTCCACTATGGGTCAGCCCAGGTCGAGCCACAATTGATACGAACAATCGTGTTGTGCCTTTTTAAGTTTTCAAGTTCTTCATCGGCTGAAGAAATTGTCTTGTATGATATAAATCTCTCATAAAATCCTGCTGGAGCCTCTTCTCGGTGAACAGACACCAGCAGGGAGCCTTTACAGACCGGGCGACCTGACAGACATACAGCTGTCTTCTGAGGGTCATATATACGTAATTTATTCTTCGGTGTGACCGTGGTCAGTAACAGCTGGTCTGTTATGAATCCCGGAGCCTCATTCAGCCACCTCTTTGTGGGAATAAAGGAATATTGTGTTTTTAGTACTTAATTCTCATTTTCATCACACTAACTGATATGCATATTACTTATGAGTGTCATGATCCACATGTAAACAATTGTACAAAAATCAGCTGGAGGCGAGGACTATGGAAGAAGTAACTGGTACAGTACCATATCTACTTCACCCAGATTAAGATTTACACGGTTATTTAAATGTGGTTATTGATAGTGTGTGAGGAATGAGGTTTATTACTTAAACATGTGGCTCCGTTATTTCCAGCAGGGGTTCGGTAGTGGGTTTTAGACCTAACTACCTCCCTACTGACTAAGTCACTGTTAAAAGTCCTCACTCGTTATTTAAGCTGTATATTGTAGCTTTAAGAAATAAATTTTTTTTTATAATGTTTGTCTTATTTGAAAGATTTCCGTTCTTGCTTTTCAGGAAATTGTTAAAAAAAACAGGAAGTGAAAGTAAAATTATCTTAATACCTTGGTTGAGATTCCGAGGGAACTTTTGCCTTGTTTTAAATAATTTATTGATTTTTCACTATTACATCAACGGCTTTGGAGTTTTATTGGCGTATTTAAACAGAACTAAACACCCAACTGAACTGAGTAACATGTCATGGGCAGGTTTGTAAACACCCCCATAATAAGCACTGACTATTCTTCCTCGGGAGTATCTAATTTGTTCAATTAGAGGATCTTTGTAAACGTTCATTGATCGTTCCTTGCATTTGCGGCTAACACCATTTGTTTTACCTAATGAAGCAATTTAAGCAATTCGTTTGCATTCGCGAATACACATGGGTATACATTAGAATAATATTAAGAAAGAAAATTATCTACAAAAAATAAATGAATAAAATTAGACTGCACACGAACGACCAGCGGATACCTCTGCCTGGCCCCTGGGTCGGGATGTAAACACGCCACGTGGGAAAACAGTATTAGTAGATTGTGTAGCAGGCGGGCAGTTACTTCCATAATTAAGAAAAAACAAAAAGTGATAATCTACGTCCGCTTGTGTGTAATAGCTATTGACTTAACTCTTGAAGGACAGAATTACGTAAGCAGCCACGGCAGCAGCTCTTGTACAAACAGCCTTTAGTGAATGTTACCGCTGTGGAATCAGTTTTACAGCCCCTGAGTAATTAACACCGGGGCGACGATGTACCAAGGTCAGTGGATAAGGAGGTTAGTTAATAGAATGAAATAACATTGCATTAGAAAAAATATATAACGCATCTAGGCCAGAATTGTGTTTGGCCTTTGTAAGATCCATAATTATATTATATATGCTGTATGTCTTGTTTGTTACAGACCCTTCCTGGCCGTCCAATTTACTAAATATTTTGTTTAGAAATAATTAACTGTAATGTTGGCTGCACAAGTACACAAGGTACTTCCTACAGAGATCTGTTCATGATATATTTATATGCTGAATTTGGTTAAAATCAAAACTGTAATTTATTTGAGATACCATGTTCATAACTTCCATTGATACACCGACGAATAGAAAATTAAATAAGAGGGAAGAAAACAAGGATAAAAAAAATACCAGGGAAAAGAACGACGGAATTTTTTTTTTTACCTTAAGATATACACGAGTACTTCCATTCCTTAGTTTAACATATTTCCTTTTCGCCAATAATATATGAAAGGGTCACACTTAAACCGGCAATAATTATAATGACTATTTTTCCTTAGAAGAAAAATGTTCTATTACCCCAAGAGCACAACTATTCTTGTGGAGGCATCTTGAAATTCGGTGGGTAAAATTTTAGTTTCGGTCATCCCTGTATTTAGATATCCAACCTAACCAACTTAACCTAACCTAGCCACAGAACCCAAAAACCATATCTAACCTAACCGGGGGTTTCACCCCCCGGATTCCTCCCACTCCCCTTTCTGGTGGAGGTTAAGTTCCTAAGATGACCGAAACTATAATAATACCATTCGGTGTTTTGTTTTCTGCAATGTTTAGTATTGCGATTCTGATTAGCACATTATGGCTGCTAGCTCGCCATGTTGACGGTGGCAAGTATATATGTCTCAAGATCTCAGGTGTGTTTAGTTTTAGAAGGAACAAATTATTGAACGATATAAACTCAAGTTAGGTAGTTTTCAGTGATTCGTTCTCAATAAAACCAGACATTGTTAGTAACGGCTAGTTACCATTACAAAGACTAGTTCTTGAAACACACGTGGTACGCTGCTGTGGCATTTTTTCCTCGCCTAAAGTAGAAAATTAGAAACAACGCGACGCTGAATTTTAGTTACTGCATCAAGCGGGAGCGTGTAGGCTGTTTCGTAGTAGATATTCCGTTACAGCATCGCGAACAATGCTCTATTTCTAGTACTGTACACACAAAGCTGGTCAAACTCACCGGCCTGCAGTGGCGATCATTTTTTTTTTTACGGGGATTAGCCCACCCGGGCACAGGTCACTGGCCCACATCAGGGCCTGGGTGTTCGAAAATATAATATTAATAATAATAATAATAATAATAATTAATAATAACCATAAATACAAAAATTATAAAAAAATATATAAAGAGAGAAACGATATACAGTATATAATTATTTTGTGTTGTCAATAGTAAGAGAGGCAATTGAGACCTTGCAATTGTGTAAATGAGGCAGAAAGTCAGAGAGGCAACCTAGGACTTGGTCACAACTTTTTTGATGCCATATGGCAGCAGGGTCTACCATTATACAACACACTGTGCTTCCTATATCTTCCCAGGCGGTAGTACTTCCCTGTTTGATAGCTGCCTACTACCTACAATATAGGGCTTAAATATCCCATATCCCCGTCGTTGGAGATCTTTTGTTCATCCATTCATCTGCAGAACAAGATTTTAAGGGGATCTGCGAGCAAGTTACACAACTCTCTTAACACTGGGATGTACGATCAAAGACAAAAGTCGTGTCGCGGTTTTGTCCAAAGATTAAATATAACCCGTGAAACATTATGAGAGCCCCCTACAACAAGGCAGAGCTCACCAAAAGTTTAGCCCTTCGGCATATGTTTTCACCAAATTTCACGACACGACTTTTGTCTTTCATTGTACACTCTCACTCCCAGGACTCTTGTGAACCTTGATCTTTGAATATTTGGGTGTAAATAATAAGGCGTTAGTCCTGTCAAACTGTTTCTCCTCAAACGTAGGGAAGTTGTTAGTGTCCTTTCTTATGCACACTGAGAAAAGTAATTAATTTAACGCACCCCCCCCTTTTTTTTACGGGCATTAGCCCACCCGGGCACAGGTCACTGACCCACATCGATGTCTGGGAGTGGGGGGATAACGAAAATATATTAATAATAATAATAATAAATGAACATATTAATAAATAATAATAATAATAATAATAATAATAATAATAATAATAATAATAATAATAATAAAACAAATAAATACAAAAATAGCATAAAAAAGACCAAGAGTGAGAAACGATATATGTATGTTGTGTTGTCATAGTAAAAGTAACAATTGAGACCCTGCATTTTTTTTCGGCGAAATGCCCACCCGGGCACAGGGCAACGACCCACAACGGGGCCGGGGGGAGTAAAATAAGAGTAAAAATAAATTAAAAATGAAAATAGAAGAGAAAAAGACTATATTAATCGATACCACGAAGATGTCGGAATACCAGCTTTTTGAAGGGAGACATTGTTCGTCAGTCAGATCAGCAACCTGGGACATGGTTAAATTTTTTGTGATGTCATATGGCAGCAGGATCTACTATTAGACAACACATTATGTCGCGTGGATCATTATAACGGTCTCCGAGTATTGATGGAGTCATTGAGTTTGGTCTTTTACTTTAGTTTTATCCTCTTCACCACTGATCGGCTCGTTAGCCGCTTGGGCGGTTAGTCACGTCTGTTACGCACTGTTGGCCAGTACTGGGCAGGCACTGGCTTCTCAATTAATCTGAACCTGCTCCAGTGTTGACTCTGGCTTGGGTATGTATTTGTCAATCAAATATTTCATTTTAATGTCCATGATATTCAAGGTAGTATCAGCATTCTTGTTTCACACCTGCAGGTCACCACAATTCTCAGTAACACATGGTTTAAGAACAGGAAAACATACTTAGAAAATAAAAATTAACTGTGGAGTTGAGAATTGATTTCAGATCAAATTAGCAAGCAGTCCTAATGGACCCTAACCTAACCTTTTTAAGGACCGAGGCTTAATAGAATCGGGACCTGCCGTGTGGTTGAGAACTAATAACTGGACTAGGGCTCACTTAGAACTAGGAACTATCCTTGTCAGCTATACTCAAGTCCCCCATAAAAATATATTTTCTGTCATGTCCAACACTCGCGTTCTCTGTAAGTCACGGGAGACTATGGCCATTGATTTAGTTGCAGCTCTGCCACTTGTCGGCTTATTAGCCGGTTAGGTGGTCGCTCAGTTTTCTGTTGCACACTGTTGGAATGTACAGGCTCTTGAATATACCTGATCATATGCCAATATTGGCCAAGCTTTGGTTTAAAAGAGCTACAACATTCTCTGGCAGGTTATTCCAAGAGTTTGCTCAGACAGTTTTCTCTGGTGATACCTTCTTTAACTTGAAGCTGTAGTCTCTAGTGGGGCGGCCGTCTGTTAACTCCAGATATGCTCACTTAAAAGAGAAATTGTCCTTTGAGGGAATTATACCTTATATTAAATCGCCATTTGTCCTTCTGCAGTATAAAGTTATAAACTATTGTAAGTATTCTAGACTATACATATTTTTAGTATTAATAAAATGTTCTAGGATCTGTGACCATACCTACAAACTGCTTCCAGGTGCTGCGTCAAACAGGAAGCTAAATCCGTGCTGGTTTTCCTTCACAGGGCTGCTCCGTCTAATTCTTTAAGAACCTATGCCGTGCGAAACTACCTATTCCCAAATTTTAGTAAGTTAATTGCATTCTCTTTTGTAAACAGTATGGAAGTTTAATTTAACGCCTCTGCTTTGTTCTGGTCAAAGTCCGCCTTAGGTCTCATGTGATTCTCTTTGTGCCCCAATTTGTTATATCATTTCCAGACTTCAAGCAACGAACTCTCTTGGTAAATATTTTAAGTCCTTCAAGCTTTTCCAACTTTTTCATAGATAGATAGATAGACAGGGGTGGATCCAGGGGGGTCGGGATCCTGGGGGTCCGGATCCAGGGGGGTCCGGACCCCATTTTTCATAAAAAAAATCCAATACTTTTTATTTAATGCAGTATTGTACTCAGGCGTTTTTGTATAGTAAAAATTAATCACCTTTGACCTCAGAATATCTCCTAATATCAAGTACACAAGACCTCAAAATGGCAACAAAACGCCCATGATATTAGTCAGATTTCAAAAAAATTATGGGGGAGGGCTAGCCCCAAAAAAAAAAAAAAATATATATAT